TTGTATGGGCATGAAAATTTCAGAAAAGTCCCATCTTATACCAGGTAAAAACATACTAAAAATTCAGATCGGTCAAAGCAAGGATGAGGGAGAGGGGGTTTAATTTGTCGCCCCGAGGCCAATTTTGCTATTTTACCCCTAAAAAACCACTAAAATGCGATTATTTTTCGAGGAGCTCCGACAACCTATTTCGAAATTGCCCAAAAACCCATCAGGGGGTACCCCACTACAACCTCCAACTTGAATTTTTGATGTACAACAAAGTCGCATTTAAAGTGAGTTCAGGGGCACCGTGCTGACTTTTCCCAGTTTTTCCTGAACTTTTTTTTTTCCCTGATTTTTCAAGGTTTTTCTAATCGCTAGGAAGAGAACTTAAAAATTAAAAGATATATCTAGTTTTTTTGATCTACTATCTTTGAGATGGTAATTTTTATGCTATCTTTTTTCGTCTCATTTGTTGACTTGAATTAGTTCACCGTAAAATTAGAAGTTAATGAAAAAAATATGCTGACTGGATGGCCAGGTTGTAGAAAAATTTTTTGAGGTAAAAACATGAAGACTATGCATAAAACTTCTTCTAAAATGGGGTTGTTGCATGGGTGAGGGATTTGAGAATATAACATACGTAGCCATAGAATTTTTCGCAACAAAAACGATGGAATCTGCAGCCATATAAGCGAGAAATCTGTTTTGAAAGGTGGTCATGACGGGCAGGTTTTAGTCGATTTAGTCATATTTTAAGAAACTAGGGGGCTGCGCCCCCTGGCCGCTCCGCGGTCCAACCCCCCAGAGGCGCTTCACGCCTCCAATAAGCATATATCGTGAGATCATTAAAAGATCATTAAGAGTTAGGGAAAACCCGGTTTGGAGACGGCAGGAGGCATGTGAGCATGCCCGGCGGGAGGAAAGTGGGGAGTGGAGGAGAAACCGAGCGTTAAACCCTTAGCGTGACATCCTCAGCGTGACACGGTGTGCTTATGATTTTATACTATAGAGTAAGACTTCTCTAAAACACTGGAGATGTTAAAAAACAGCAAAAACCCACAAACACGGTAACATGACGATTCTTCAGGTACCGAATTTTAGGTGTCCTTGGTGAATTAGTGTGATTTTGTCAGAACCCTGACTTCAAATTTTGCTGCTAAATCGCCTACGTAAAGTAAAATCTTCGTCGTTTTGGGCCTTTAAGTGCTTAGAACTGTTTGAAAACTCAATCGATCTAGATGAAACTCTTCCACATTGTATAGCCCCAACTCCCAACTTAGCTGTGTCTGTAAACACAAAGATCGTTTAAATCCGTGCGTTCATTTGGGCTGCAGTCGTTGATAACCCAAATCAATTTTCAGATTAAGGGAGTTGTGTGTGTCTATGGTTGGCTGCCACGTTTCCTGTTCAGGCCGCTTCCATTGTTGCCGAGTTTAGACTTCGTCTGGAGGTTGCCACCGCCACCCATGACAAATATCTTTTTATTAACTGATATGGAATTGATATATGATCAGGTAAAATTATAAACTGTATTTAGAAACAAATTTGCTCCCACTTTTTGTGTATACGCATGAGTTACATTTATGGTATAAAATAGATGCCTTGAATTAGATCATGATAGATATCCGCTGTTTTTTATACAAGAAATAATAAAAAAGAAAGTATTTTGGTATGCGGATTGGACAATATTAGCGAGAGAATTCGAGATACCGATTAATAAGATAACAAAACCGGGCAGCAATGTCCAGGAAGTATTTAATATAGTTAAAAGTAAGTTGCTACACTCATATCAGGTTAACTTATCAAACAACTGCACTCGCCTCTTGTATAAGGAGATACAGCCAAATAATTTTTTTATCGTCGTGTGCAAGAAGAAGATCACTGACTGAGGGCTGCAAACTCCCAGCCAGGGATGCACAGCTGGTTTTTCAAGTTGAGACAAGTCCGACTCTACTTCCTCGGATGCCCCTGGCGATGTGCTGGCGACGAGGATGCCCAGCCACTTGCTCGGGTACCGCGGGGTCGCCAGCCCTCGAAAGGGCCTCCCGTACGTTTTGATGTTGCCTCCCAGGTTATTATTATTATTGTTCATTTGACTACTGTACACCAGCTTGCGCTGAGTTGGTTCAAACTCTCACACAGGGGCAAACGATGCTCCTGGGTATGAGGGCTGTTTATTATTATTCTTCATTATTATTATGTATTATTATTATTATTATATGATCAGGTAAGAAAGTCTAGAATTATCATACTTCATTAAAATAATCTGTCTGAAAAAACGGAACACCCTTAAATAAATACCTTAAAATCTAGCTGACAAACTTGCTCCATCAGACTGTTTGTAAAAGAAGGTCCTATCTCAGCACTAGAAGTATGAAATTGAGAAGCATCAGTTAGGGGACTATTGTAGTCATTGTCCTCATTATTAGCAGGGACAGAGGATATTGTTCCATTAAGGAAAGACTCTTGACAGACTTCAGACGGCAAAATGAAACCAGTAAGCCTGAAACAGATTAATTCATCACAAAGCAAACATTACATCAAACTGACAATTTAATCCAATATACTCAAAAAAGGCTTATGGACCAGAAATCAGAATTCAATAAAAACAGGAAAAAACTGTTTTAATCGACCAGTTCTAAATCTTGGAGGTCAGAAAATGAATGAGAGGGAGGATTGCGATTCAAATCGGATTGTGGTCGTTTCAGAGATTTTCATAAAATTCGAACAGAAAAGAGTGAGATGAATTGGCTTCAGAGTCTTTTAAAGCATAAACTGACTTATTTCAACATATTTTCCCAATGGGTCTGTTGCAAGCAAGACACCGTTTGTCTCAGAGTAATATCGCAATCTGTGTAGTTGGTAACGGGCTTTTTCAAGTTTCCTGCATCTGCGGACAGTTTTTTCTTGATGGCTGGCAGTCAGGTTTGCCCGAAGAGAGATCTAACCTTGAATATAAACAAACAATCTTGGAAACTGTAAAAAAACTCTCCTTGCGGAAGATCTCAATTAATTCAAAGCTTTTGTTTTTGCAAAATAAAGAGAGTAAAAGGAAATAAACGCTTGAAAACAAATGAAATCATACAATAGGAAAAGTTAATTAATCATTTGTTTACTTTCAGTAGTTCTTTCTTACTCCTCTGCCTGTGCAAACCCGGTCAGCTGTGGATAAGAAAAACTGCCCTCAGACGCAGGAAACTTGAAAAAGCGTGTTACAACATACACAGATTGCGCACTATGGAGTGGATTTCAATCTTTATTGATGTGCCCAACGTGATTTTCCAGCAAATTTTCACTGAAAAAGTGTATTCACTTGGGTGTATCTCATGCTTGCAACAGACCCACTTCAAAATCAAATTTTTGGTATTCCAATTCATACATAATATGCACAAAAATTTCATTTACACTTTGTCTGCTTAAAAAGCCATAATACCTTACTGACTGCTGATGGCTTACAAGTGCAAAAACTTGCTAAAATCTCAAAAACAAAGAAGTGTTATCCTCAATTAACAAATATTTATCCCCTCATTTTTGCAAAGTTAAGATGGCTGTGTGAGGGATTCAAATCGGATCAAATCAAGCTACGCAAATACTATATGGGGCTTTAGTGCTTGAGTCTTTTTGAGAATGACTCAGGGTGTCTAGTTTTTTTCATTTCAGGAAATTCTGATGAAATACTGATGTTTCCTGATTTTTGACTGCTAAATCCTGATTCCATAATTTTTCCAAATCTTAATCAAATCCTGATTTTTTGCAGAGAAAAAGTAAAATTTCTGCATAAGCGTATGCAAAAGCATAAAAAAATCTGATCGGACAGCCGACATTTCTAAATCCTGATTTTACGACCGATTTTTCCTCAAATCCTGATGAAATCGGGATCTAATCCACATTGACCTCAAATCCTGATGGAATCGGGAAAATCCTGATGCTAGACACCCTGTGACTGGACTTTTCACATGTTTCTTAGGCCTTGAAAATCTTTTTTTCTACTTGTCTCTTTGCAACAAGGTGTATCTATTAATTACTATGCTACCACAGAAAAATTCAAGCCCCTAAGTAAAATGTGTCCCTCACAAAGATGGTTTTTTTGGCGCCAGAACGGTCAAGATTGCTAACTCAGCGACAGTTTACTAGTCCTCTGCCAAGATTCTTGACCTAAAATCACTAATTTTTGGTTCCAAATATTCATCGAGCATGTCCAAGTATCGTTTGAAAATATTTAATTTCAGATGATTGCACTGACAGAAACTGCATGCTTCTCAAAGCACAAGGTGAGTGAATACAGCCATACCCAACTATCACTTCTTGTAGATGGTGTTTTTTTAACTTTCAAGACCAGTTATTGGACATGCAAATATCTCTGCTCAACTTTCTGAGTCCATTTACCATGAATAGTGACTAAAATGAACAATTTGTGCAATTTGCCGTTCATAATCTGCACATTTTAAGTACCATTTCCCATGCACTTCTATTACAGGCGGGCTGAGGTATGGCATCCTGCTACACAGGTTGCCTACCCTGGACCTGCAGGGGCATGGGGGTGCACTTCTTTCCTACGCTAACTATAAGGCGTGCAGTATCTGGACTCTGAAGTCCTCAGTTATCTTTGGTCTTAAGCCCATCCAACTTATTCAGGTTTCTCTATAGATCATTTACCTGTAAACCGCTCCTGAGGAGAGAAATATAAGCAGTTCCTCTTCTGAATTGACGGAATGACTAACAATAGATATGAATGATTTGCCCTCTTCAGCCGACTCTGCAAGTTCCCTAGAAGAGGATAAAGTCATTAAAATTTACAATTAAATCAGACAAATTAAAAGAAGCAAAACGAAGGGAGGCTTTTGAACTTCCCACACTCCTTTCAAGGCCAATAAACATGAGGGGTCCCAAAAAAGTAATACCTCTTTTCTTTCAATGTGATTTTCTTGCGGAACTTCATTCCAATGTTCGTTAATGAAGTGCCTAGAGCATGGAATGGGATCACATGGACCAAAGATCATTGTGATCCAAGCTCAATTTTTCCAGCCCCCCTCCCTTTTCCTTTCCTACATAGACTTTTCCTTCTTTTCCTTTATAATACGGTCGTTGTTATTCATACATCACACCCAAAACCAAATATTGAATACTTGGCAATTTATTCTCATTTAAAGTATTTGGAAAGTGTTTCCTTTCCTCTCTTTTGGGTTTCTCTCTATTTCTCGAAAATATTTGTTTCTTTTTTACGGTCCATAGTAGCAGCGTTATTTAAAAATTACATAAATTGTACGTAAATAATGTATAAAGTTGAAAATTATATTAAAAAATAAAACATGTTGATAAAGATCTGTTGAAAAATTCCTGGCATTAAAAAAACGTAAATTATACGTAAAAAACATTTGAAAAAGGAATAATTCATACAAATTAAAAGATATAAATTTTAAATATTTTACATATAATATTCATTCATTTTTTAAATCGACATTACTTGAAACATTGTCACAAGAATTATGTAATTTGCATCTGTGCAAGTTACATTATTACAATAAAAAATTTGAAAAAATGAGTACTAAAGACACTTGATATAATCAGAATTTTAGCGTTATATTCATGTACATTTACTATCAATATTACTTGAAACATTAACGTACGAATCACGTAATTTGCACATGTGGGCCGCCTCCTGGGTAAAAATGTTATAAGATAATTCTCCCCGAATTGATTTTTGTCTCATGATACATGTACATAAAAAAGAAAAAAATATCAAGAAGTGGCCCGAACCAGATGTAACAAGGTGGAGAAATGGTGCTGGGTCCACACCATTTCGTGGGGAAAACAAAGCTAAGAAGTTCCAAAAATTATTATTAGAGTAAAGAATAAATTTTTTTGACTCTAATGAGTATTAGTGCAAAACTGAGGGGGGAGAGAAAGCAGCTCTGGAAGCTTGTATTGGAATATTAAGTTGAGGTCTTGCTGAGAGATCTGTATCGGTTTGGGTCTTTTCAGACCTCATCTGTAGATCACACTCGTCAGTGAAACAAACATCACTGATTAGAGTTGAGAAAATTTATTTTTGACTCTAATTATAGTTTTTGGAACTTCTTGGCTTTGTTTTCCCCGTGAAATGATGTGGACCCAGCACCATTTTTCCACCTTGTTACATACAATACAGGCCACTTCTAAGTGTTTTTTTCTCATTTACACGCAGAGTTTTGGGGATAATGTGTTATCGTTTTCCCATTCGGGAGCGGGCGGTTGAGCCTAGATGCGTTCGCATCTCCAACCAGCCTGATAATAATTTTTTTGGGTTCTCCTTGTTTTGTTATGAGAGATGTTCAGCCGCGACGGTAGATGGCGCGATGATCACAATTTTGTGTCATGCCTCAGGTCATATTCATGACGGCGTTTTAATACCATCTTGAATTTAGCAGGATGCTAAGTTGGATTCACTGACGAGTGTGATCTACTGATGAGGTCTAAAAGACCCAAACCGGTACAGATCTCTTGGCGTGACCTCAACTTAATATTCCAATGCAAACTGCCTGAGCTGAACACTCGCCCCCTATAATTTTGTCCTGGTGCTCATAAGAGTTAAAAATTTATTTTTGACTCTAATTATAATTTTTGGAACTTCTTAGCTTTATTTTCCCCGCGAAATGGTGTGGGCCCAGCACCATTTCTCCACCTTGTCATATATATGTCGCAGGCTAAAGGTCAAATCCGGCATTTAGGCAAATGCCTAGGCAAATAGAAAAGAAATGGTAAAAATCATTGAAATTCGTTGATTGCCTAGGCATTTGCGCAAATGCCTAGGCGTTTGCTCAAATGCCTGAAGATTTGACCAAATGCCGAAGGCTGATTAGGCAAATAGTAAACTCCAGCCCGGCTCACAAAGTAGCTGAAACTGCAACGTCGAGCTCAGAGCCTGCTCTGAAAATATGTCGTCTTGAAGCACCAAGCTCCAGCCCGGCTCACAAAGTAGCTGAAACTGCAACGTCGAGCTCCGAGCCTACTCAGAACGTGTGTGGTGATCAACCTCAATGCTCCTCTTGTCAAAAGCCTGGTAGCTTAAAAAAATGCAGCTCTTGCGATAATTCATGTCATCAAGAGTGTGGTAATGAAGACGGCGACCAACCATTTGTTTTTAAGTACTAGCCGTTCTGGCGCGCCCGTCACGCCTAGCCGGGGGCTACGCCCCCTGGACCCCCGGTCACTCGCTACGCGAGTGACATTCGGCTCGCCTCGCGAGCCGATTTTGTAGTAGTTGCAAATTTTTTATCACTATATTTTGAAGATTTCATAGAAAACATTATGAAATTCTCACTCCACAATTAACTTGTAGAATAATAATGGCAGGGCAAGAAATAGACTATATCTTAAAATGGACGGTTCCCACTTAGTAAAAACAGCCAACACCACGTGAAGGTGAGGAACCATCGTTAGCCACTTTTTTTTTTTTTTTTCTCTCTTTACTTTTCTGAAAAAAATTTACTGAAATTTTAGTTGCGTCCCCTAAAAGGAAACACGGAGAAAAAAAATTGTGCATGGAACCCGAAGCTGAGAAGAAAGATAAAGAAAGAAAAATCCGAAATCAAAAGGAGGCATTTAGTTATGATTGATTAATGAACCATAGCAATGTAACAACAGCAGATTATGAACAGGTCATAATTGATTATTCTGGCAGTTGAGAATCGAACCCACAGCTCGGGCCGAAGCGAAGAATCACTTGATACTCCAGACTACTCAACTATCACTGAAACTATCGGTGGGCAGGTGAATCTTGAGTTTATAGGGTAGCGCTACAGCTAATGCACAACGGGCTGCACGCCCACTGCGCAACCCTTTTCGCGCAGAGTGGCAGCAGTTGGGGAGCATTCTGCAAATTCGCTTACTTTTATAACAAGGATAGTAAAAAAACCTGGGTCCTATTTCAAAAATCTGATTAAACCGGGCTCATCTGCGGACTATCACTTGTTGATTAATCTAAAAATCATGGAAATCGGCCCAGTAGAACGCTCCAACGAACTGTGACAAAAAATAAAAGTTTACATTGTTTAAATGGGAGAATTCGCAACTTTACAACGTAGCAAACGAAAATCTGGGTCATACTTTCAAAATCTGAATGAAGCCGGCTCATCTATATACAATTGCCTGTCAATAGCAGCAAAAATCATGAAAATCGGCCCGGTAGAACGCTGGAGCTAGCGTTACCATAAATAAAAATTTAGGTCTGAGTGCTTGGGGCATAGATTTTTTACTCCAAATATATTTTTTTTCCCAAATATGTTTTATTACTCAGAATTTATAATCATTCTTTCTCATAATATGTTTAGGTTCTCCTGAATAGCTCCGGAACAATTCAATGAACATACATGGTGTTGGAATTTTTCTGCGAAGCTTATTGACATACTGCAGATTTACAGATGTTATAACTTTTATCAATTTGGAAAATTTCCCTGGTTGATCCAAACTCAACTGAGTACACCAGAAAAGTCTACCATCTGTTAAAAACAAAGTTCCCTCTACGTTTGGTTATATCATGAAGAGATGAGGATGTAAATGAATCTGTCCGCGTCCTTTGTAGACTGATTTAGCAGCCATGTCATTTTTGCGATTTTTGATGTACCTCTTTTTTATGTTAACCATATCAATAGAGCACAACTTCAGGTCTAAATTCATTTTAGAGTTTAGGATAAAATTATTGTCTCATTTAATTACCATTTAATCATGACCGCCTACTATGATGTAGAGGTTGTACCTCTGATTCTAGGATCACGATGTCTTGGGTTTGATTCCTGGCCAGGCAACCCGAGTCTGATGGTCTGAGACAATGGTTGCCTGGGGCTGGTTGATGAGTACGGACTGAGGATGAATGGGGATATAACAGAAAGCCAAGAATTACCCAGGAATATTTAAAATGTAAAAAAAGGATCGAACCCTCAATAAACACCTAAAATTTGAACGCAAGAAACCCATTCATTCTACCACTGTCTCATGAGTTCCAAAAAGTTATGCGTCTGTTTACAGCAGAACCATCAATCTCTAATATATTTGCAGGACCATAGCAACTAAATGTTTCTTGTACTGAATTCAAGTCAATGAAGATGTCTCATGGTTCATTCTGGTGTACCTAACGGTTAGAATCCTGACTAGAATCCTAAGTAGCTCCCTTAGTTGCAACTCAGCCATTTCTGAACTCCTCTTTGAGTCTTGATCCTCATAATTGATCCAATGTCGATGATGAAATATTGATGTCAACACAAGAGATTCATGGGAAATTCATTACTTTTGACACCTTGTTGAAAAGATTTGCTACCTTGAAGACATAATCTGTTAACATAAACTTCAGCCAAATCGGAGTATAAATAAATTTTGAAGATGATCAGGGCCATTCAGTTTAGATTACCCCCTTGGGTTGATTCAAGCACCCTGTAGGCATTGCCTGCCCAGGGAAGAATATATTTTACATCAAAATAGAGCAAGCCCAGTTTGCAGCTTTTTTATGACTGATGAGTCATTTCTCTGATCATTTTCATGTAAAGAGTTTCGAACTATATCCTTCTGCAGGAAGTCCTAAGAAGAGAATGGTGTTGGGATTCATTAATTTCTATATGGCCACTAACAAAATACATTACCATTAAAATGTCTTCAAACGACAACTGAAAATTTTTTATTGGTTCAATGGCAATTGTTAATATTTTCCCTAACAGCTAACCTAGATTATTTTCAGCTAACTGAGTTTTGCCATACCATTAATTACAAACGAATTTGCTTAAACATTACCTACCTACCTACCTTTTATTATTTTGTGTAACATTGGAAACTGCCCCGTTCAGCTGAGTTGAATCTGCGGTGGCATGCAACTGGAATCTTCTCACCGATTCTGGGAAATTCCCTCTTATGGCGTCTGAATTTTTCTCACCCTGGCTAATAACTAATCCTCTTTCTCACTTTTCAGATTTACCTCCATACTTCTTCTTTTTTTTCTCCCAAAAGCTTCCAGGGGAATGGATGGAAATACTCGCTGTAAGTACCTAAAAACTTTGTTAACTTTGATTGAAAAAGTAACTAAGTAATCTTAATCTTTTAAGGCAAACAAAGACTTTCACGCTTTTTAAGTTCATTAGGATATGATGTAAAAGTTATTCATTATTCGAAAGTGCAAACTGAAACATTGTATCTACTTTGTATCAGGGTTAATTAAAAATAAAAAAAAGGAGTCTAAGATCTTAACATAAGAATAAATAAGAATTTAGGTTCAGCTTATTATCCTCGAATCTCTGTAGACTGTTAGGAGGTGCCTATTGAAATAAAGAGAAAAGGTAATGGACCGAGTTTATCAGAAGGGAACCAACCCACATTTTTGAAAAAAGTAAGTTAAGAATGTTTTCAAGTTCCACTAGCAGTATATTCTCTCCTGCCAATAACTGAAAGTCGAAAAACAGAGATTAGTCTGTAAAAGGCGGGGTTAAATAATACCACCTACCCATACCTGGTCATGGGTTTGAGATTAAATGTTCGTAACTCCCAAAAACACACGAGATCGTATAAAATGGACCTAAAAAAGTTGATTTTTTTACTTGAGAAAGTGAATTTATTCCGGGCGTGGAATTTTCAGTTGAATATTTCGGCAAGTTTTATATTGGCAGCATTATATTTTAAATTAAGGAAAAAAGTATTGAATGGGAGTCACTATACGGAAGAAGGGCAGGCAAGGGTGAAAACGTATGCAACCCGCCAAACGTAGCCCAGCGGCTTCCCTTTGTTCTTGGAAGATATTACTCACACACTCTCACACATATTCTCCAATGGCCAGGAATTCTAAGTAGGAATTGGGTTAAAGTTGATTTTCTACATTGAGCCTTGTGCAGCCATAAAACTTCAAACCTCTTCCCAAGTAGCATTTTGCAACGGAAAAATTGCGATATTTCGAAATTAAATTGCGATTTTTTTACGATTTTATCGGCGATAAAATCGCTAGGATCATCAACATCCGAGCGATTATCCTCGATCTTTTCGCGATTTTATCGCCCGAAAAAATTGCGATTTGATCGCGATAAGATCGAGTGTAATCGTTCAGATGTTGATGATACTAGCGATTTTATCGCCGATAAAATCGCCACAAAAATGGGATTAGCGCTGCATCTCGCCGCGTCTTCAGCCGATTTCCGTCAGGTTCAGCCGTCAGGTCCTTTGACGAAGACGAGCGTAAAATCCACGGAGCCTCCGCTGGGATTCAAACCTGAGTCGCAGCGGTGGTAGGCCAGCACATTGCCACTAGGCTATGGCCACTATATGGCTAATGAGTGCGAATTCAAGCCTAGATGGATCGGCGCTTCGCAACCTCACAACTTTGGTCATTAAGTAGACTGACGCCGAGTTTTCATTTGACTTTTTTTTATTTTCCCTCCTCTGTATTTTATTTCATACCTTGAAATACGGTTGGTAAAATAAGGTTCTATTGGTAATCTTAGCATTCTGTCTTGGTAAAATTACCAATAATAATAATAGTTAGATGGTGAAGTTACCGATGGACCTTAGTAAAAACGCCAATATTTTTTAACGACTGTGGTAGGATTACCGAGATAAAATGGTAAAGTTACCAGGAATTGATATACATTAAAAGTGGTATTCTTACCTGAAAAAACCAGTAGAAATACCGGTTTTTAGGTAAGCTTACCAGTCTGTCTTGGTAACATTTCCAATAATTGGGAAAACAAATGAGATGGTAAAGTTACCAACGAACCTTGGTAAAAACGCCGAGGAATGTTTTCTCAGTGTGGGCGTACCTCCCACCATCCAAACTCCTCGCCCAAATTTTATCTCAATTTATCGCACGTTATCGCAAGTTTTCTCCCGATAATATTGCAATAAATCGACGTCGATAAAATCGCGATACATTCTCCGATTAAATCGCAATTTATCGCGATCACTGCTACTTGGGTTATTTTTAGTTTCAACTTAATGTGGGTTGGTTCCTTTCTCATGAACTCGGCCCAATTATGACACTTATTGGTAAACCTGGTAAAAACAAGTTGTCCGGTCCTGATTGAGAGACAATGGAAGGAAGCATTTGCAAGGCCGACAAAAATAAATAATCCATTTTGCGAGACCAAAAAACAATCGATATGATATTCAAATGAGACCATCCGCTTTACTTCGGTGCAATTCTTGTTGAGAATGATGAGGGCATTTTCAATAGTCACCATCAGCCCGATTTTAGGGTTGAGTGCAGATCTGATGTCAAGCTCTGATTCTGAACTTCCATCCTGAAAGGAAACAACAAGTTACTAATAACTACTTAGTTAAAGATTAAAAGATTTGATAGATAAAATTCTGAAAAAACTAGCATACCATCAGGTTTAAAGGAAGATAATGCAGGATGTGAAATTTCCAGACGTTTTTTACCCATCTTGTAAGTAAGGGGGTATTGATGGTCAGTCACAGTAGGAAATGGGATGACTGTGAAATAAAAGAAGACGAGCTCATCTAAGTAAGAAAATCATGTGTTTTCCACAAAACGAAAGAAGCTCAAGGCGTTTCTTAAATAGGAAGGCAATTGGAAATGCCAGGACCCTTCTGCATCCCTGCTGTTTAGCTCAGTAACTTAAGTTGCATCTCTGTCAAGTTGACTGAGTTCTATCGATTGAACAGCTTAGATTAGAGTGGCCAACAAAAGCGAGGTATCAAAGTTTGCTGGGCTTGCTTGAATGCAACAGAGTAAATTATTGGACATGATAAACGTTACCTCAAGGCTAGATTCGATTGTAGCGATAGTGTTGGTTTCAAATAGACCATCGAGGCCCACGGTGACAGCACGAGTGCCAAAGTTTGAAGTTTCATCCTCAGCATCGAAACCACACTTAACGTGCCACATTCTGCAGGTCCGGATTCACACCAATTTTCGAAGATCACATAAGTAGTTTACGAGACTTGATCAGGTAAACACATGGCAAATTTGAATGGTTGGTAAGGACTAGAGGGAACTGTGCGAATTAAAGATAAGATAAAATAATACTTTCTGTTGCTTGATTGAAATTGGTAAAATGCTTACTCGGGCTAGACTCGGCTGTTCAGTCGTTGCCTAGTAGTACGAATATGGAGTTAGGTTATGTATTGAATCTTACCTTGATTTTGCCGCCTTTTCTGGATCACAGATTAGTCCAGATCGCTAATAAAACATCGGCGGAAGAGCGTGAGTAGCTTTGTGAGCGCCATTGGCGGGAAAATCCATGGGCATTTAAAACTAGGAACCAAAACTGAAATTTTGGCTATTTTCAGCAGATTTTCGGCGGGAGAATACTTCTTTTTCAGATTTTTGTGGGATGAAACGTTCCGAAGAATTCAAGAATTAGTTTCTCAGTAGAATTTATGTGGTTCAATATTTCCAGATTAAATAATTAAGGTGGAAATAAATAAAGAAGGAGAATTAATTAAAATACGAGTAAACAAGGCTAAAAATTATTGAAACA